GAGAGAGAGAGAGAGAGAGAGAGAGAGAGAGAGAGAGAGAGAGAGAGAGAGAGAACGTGTCATTTAAATGTAGGTTTCTTTGGGTGGAATATTTCTTCAAGAGAATGCCGGCCCATCTAAAGTTTATAGCCCTATAGAATTCAAAACAAAACAACAATGAACCCAGGGTGTAACCACCTCCAGATAAGGAGAACCTCCCCAGTCCCTTAGCCTTCTTCTTGAGTGCCCTCCGGGTCACCACCGCTGCCACCCTGAAAACCGCTTTCCACACTTCTCGCCCGCCCGCTCTGGCGGTTTTAATGCCTGCATTTAAGGGAAGGCACGTGCAACTGCTTCAGGCCTCCACCCTCAAGGAAGTCGGTGGGGGGGGGGGGGCGTTCAGCTAGGTAGGGAGAGTCTGGTGAGGTTCCAAGATCTTGATTTCCACTCTGTCCCCGGGATGTGGGAGTGTGCACTAATTCGGCGCCTTGCGTTTGTCAACCAGAAGATTCAGGAGCCAGCCATCCCCGCTGCGTCCTCTCCCGGCGGCGAGTTTGCATTTATAGATCTGTGGCCAAAAGCACAACGCCCCCCACCCTCGGGCCTGCATACAGAGGAAGCTTATCCTAGCAGCTCATTCTAAAGCCATTTCCGAGTAAGAAACAGATAAAGGCTCGGGTCCGGTACCCTTTCAGAGCCGGCTGCTGATCAGAGGGGAGGTCCCGGCTTTCATCTGCTCCCGGCGGGCGGCCAGGCGGCCAGCGTGTTTATTCCCCTGGCGGAGCCGCTTCCGCGCGTGCTGGCCGCCGGAGCTGTCTGGGGACAGCGCAGGAGCGGGGACTCGGGGTGGCGGGGAGAGGGAAGGCGCCGGGGCACGCGCGCGAAGGGTACAGAAGGGTGCCGGCCGTGTGGAGCTCAGCAACAGCTAAACCTAATGACACCCTCCTTCCTGCACCTCCCTTCCCAGCCCTGAGCGACCCCCACCACCACCACCACACACACATACACTGTAGGGTGTTATTTTCAGGTACGTTTAATGTCAATCAGAAATAACGTATAGCTCACAGGATCATTTCGTGTGTTTCATTAGCAAGGAGGAACTTTGTCAGTAGAGCGCTAAGGAAGTCACAGCTTCCAAATTCAGTCTAGCCTCTTCCGAGGAGGCCTGCTCACCTGATGAACAGCCCTGCAGTTTGGGCGTTTGGGTTCCAGCAATAACCCTTTTCCAAATCAGGGGCAGATGTGAGGTTGGGGTGATATTCCTCGCCTTTCCATGCAGCCGCCCTTCCACCCTGGACAGACAACTGATATGGGGCATGGTGTGGCTGGCAGCACTTGGGGCCCCCACAGTGTGGTGTGCAGGTCCTTGAAGCATGCCTTCAGCAAGCTTGGCTTAGGGCTGGCCATCTGTTTCCAAGAGCACAGTCCATCCTGAGGCAGGGGACCCACACCAGATATCCTGGTACTCTCCTTCCCCACACAAGTGGCCTCTGGAAGGGCGCAGACCCTGTAAGCTTTGGGAGCAGAGTACAGGAGTCTGAGTGTCTGCCTGGCCCTCTGAGGCAACATGGGAAGGCCAGGGTCCCTCCGTCCCCTTTCGTTCCAGTCTACACACATTTTTGTAGTGGCGGCTAGGCATTTCTTCCTGGCCCTTGTATGTGGGTCCTGGCCCTAGAAGGGGGCTATGGCTGTCCTCTGCTGGTGCCACCTGCAGCAATTGACTACCCGGGCCCAACAGCCAGGGCTGCCCCATTTTGTTGCTCTTTCTGTTGCAGTTACCAAACGGTGGCCTGGAGGGGACAGAGAAGGCCAGGCAAGGCAGCTGCTGCCATCCTCTTTAGCTTTAGACCCACCAGAAGTGAGGCAGGGCCACAAAACAGAGTGGCACCCGCTCCAGCTATGCCCCTATTCCGGGCTGAAGGCTGGTTTGAAGGAGGAAGCTGGATTGGGTTCCTGAGTTCTCTGGCTCACCCCCCCCCCCATCCTTGGAGAGGGGGTGGATTTGAAAATGCTTTCAATCGACATCTGAGACAAATTCTTCCACACGGTTTATAAGTCCCTAGACTTGCAGTAAGAACTGCCGTTCCCCCCCACTTCCAGGCACGCATACAGGCACACATGCGCACTTGACCCACAAGCTCATGCACATGCGCCTGGAGCGCCATAGCCGCCCTTTTCTCTCTGCAGTGTGTGTCCTAGTCTTTCCTGTAGCAGGAGAGGTGCATGGGCTGGACTAGGCAGGTCCTGAGGGGGGAACCAACTCTTCCAGAACCTTTCTGCTCAGGGTCCCAGTTTGCTGTGGGGTCTGGCAGCTGTGGAGAACTTTATTCTTTCCGGAAGTCCTACTCTATCCAGGCAAGCTAGTACTGATGACAAAATGGAGGTGGGTGTGTCCAGTCTGTTTGAGGTTTTCAGGGCAGCATCTTATGAGGTTCTCTGGCTTAGTGAATGGCTTGCTGCTTTGATTCTCAGCACCACAGTGGAGGGATGGGTTGAGGCTCCCGCATCTGTGGCTTCGGTCAGGTTTGGATCCTGCTTCTCTCCTGAGGAACCCCTTCATGATTTGGTTTATTTGTTTTTGTTTTTTGAGACAGGGTTTCTCTGTGTAGCCCCGGCTGTCCTGGTACTGTAGACAAGGCTGGCCTCAGAGATTTACCTGCCTTGGGAGTGCTGGGGTTAAAGGTGTGCACCACCACCACCCTGCCCTGCTGATTTTTCTTTTCCTTTTCTCTTTCTTTCTCTCTCTTTTATTTTAGTTTATTTTTTTGAAAAGGTTTTTTTGTGGTATATAGTTCTGATTGGGCTCTAACCAGAAGTCCCCCTGCCTCAGCCTCTTTGAGTACTGGAGTTATAGGGCGGGAGGAACAGCCATGCTATTTTGAAATGGAGTATGTGACCCATATATAGTGACGGTCATCTGACCCAGTGTGTGCTAGGCAAGTGGTCTATACCTGAGTTCCATCTCCAGCCCTCTGTGGGGAGTCAGCTGGGGAGGGGCGGGAGAGGGGTTCTGTCTGCCCTGCTCTGGTTCAGCAGGAGCAGAGGGCTCCGTGTTCCTGCAGGTTTGCCTGTACTGAGTGCCCTAAGGAAGCTCTTCTCAGAACGTTCAGTTAGCGTCCTGGACAGTTTCATCACGGGCTACAGGAAGACTCGCTTTTGTTGGGTCCATTTTCAGAGAACTAGGCCATACCCCTGGCTTGTGGGACATGGAACAGAGCAGAGAATCAAGGAAATGGTAGTAATGTTATCCTTATTTGAGAGGTAGGGAAACTGAGGCACAGGAGATCTGGGCAGGTGGCCTGAGGCTTAGCTGGTTAGAGGTAGGCCCGACTGTGACCAATGGCAGGCTGATTTCTGCTTCCATGTTTTGGCCCATGAGGCTTCTCCAGTGGCTTCCTGGTCAAGGTGCTGTGTATGGCCTCAGTGAAGCATGCGCCTTGAGAAATACCCCTGCAGCTCACACAGGAAGAACCAGGCTTAGCAGGGTTTTCCCCTAGTTTTCTTTCCTGTGAGAAAGGCATCTCACTGCCTATGAAAGCCTCTGACAGTGGTGTCCAGGGCAGCTGCACTAGGGCCCTATGATGTCACCTCAGAACTTCAGCTGTTTGTAAGCTGGCAAAGGACTGGGGACAATTTGAGACAGCCACAATGCTACTGAAATGCCCCCTCGCTGTCCCAAACAGGGTCTCTATCCTGCCTGCTGTGGTTCACAGCTACCGGGTCCCGATCATGGGGGATTCCCGCGGAGGGAGATTTGGACAAGGTGTACGCTGTCTTTCTGGGTGTAGATTGACAGCTGGTGGGGGGTCTGGTGTGGTTTGAACAGTTCTGTCCTGTGGGACAGTGAGGACAAGAGAGAAGTGGGTCATAACCTTTGGCTAACTCTGCTGTTTCTCCCACTGTGCCGCCTCAACCCTTGACCCCCTCAGGAGGATGTTCCCCAGCTACAAGGTGAAAGTCACAGGCATGAACCCCAAGACCAAGTACATCCTGCTCATCGACATCGTCCCCGCAGATGACCACCGCTATAAGTTCTGTGACAACAAGTGGTAAGAGGCCCAGGGCCTGTCTCTCCTCGGCGCTGGCGCTCCTTCTTCCAGTCAGTCTTTACTGCCCAGAGTCATGTTGCTGGGGTGTTTCCTGCACCCAGGCAGGGGCTGAGGCAGGTGTGTAGGCTTCGCTGGCCTTTGACGGGCCCTAGAACATCTGACTGGGACTCTCTGGGGTCCATGGTGGCGGAGGTCATAGACGCAAAAGCTAGACTAGAACTCAGAACAGGCTCTGGATTTGAGACGTTCCAGCTGACACGTTTACAACACTGGAAAAGTTAAAAAAAATATATATATATATGGGTGTGTGGAGGATGGAGAAGGGGTTGGTAGCTCAGGGGTTAAAGCACTGCCGGTAAATAAATAAAACTTATAAATAAAACACACGAAAGTGCCCACTCTCCCTGAAGTGTCTCTATAAACAGCCCTAGTCTTTGAAGTCAATGCTGGCACCTTCCTTCATCTCCCCCTTCTCTCTAACCCCTCCTCTCTGCCCCCCCCCATCTGCACTGGGCCTTGGTTTGCTCTCAGGGGGAATGGGGAGTTTGGCTTCACCAGACCCCAGGGAACTCATCTGCTGCCACTGTCTGTCTGCTTTTGTCTGCAGGATGGTCGCAGGGAAGGCTGAGCCAGCCATGCCGGGGAGGCTTTATGTTCACCCAGACTCTCCTGCCACGGGGGCCCACTGGATGCGGCAGCTGGTCTCTTTCCAGAAGCTGAAGCTGACCAACAATCACCTGGACCCCTTTGGCCATGTAAGGACCGGGGTGGTGGTCTTGGGAGAGAGAGCAGCCGTGGCGGCGGTGGGGGTGGGGGTCTTAAGGTTTGAGAACAGGAGAGACTCCACTTTTTATCAGGCCTCTGACCCTGCACATCAGCTGTGCATCCCCTTCCTCCTCACCAGCTGGCGACTCTGGGCAAGGCTCTCAGCCTTTTTGAGTCTCTGTTTCCGTGTATAGAGACTGGGGTTGACTGTATGTGCCTTCCGTGGTAGTGAGGCCTAGATGGGGGGATGTGCAGGAAGTTTCTTACAGAAGAGCCACGTGAACGGTGAGTATGGCCGTGGAGATGATGAGGAAGGTGGTAGTGATGGAAGATGTTGCTGATGCTGGCAGCTGTGATGATGATTGACAGGTAGTGATGATAGCCACACTGGTGATGCCGAGACGGGGCCCAAACTATTCCTGTTAGATTCTACAGATGTGAATTCTGAAGTCCTTCTGACTTCTGGAAAGGGAGCATTATCTCTGGCTCCTGGCTCAGCCGCTGCCTGGGGTCTGGTTCATAGGTCAGGACCGGGGTTATGGTAGTAGGGGCGGCAGTGTGGCTGCCTGCAAACATCCTAATCCCAGTTTCTCAGGCTCATTCTTTCCCCTTCTGGCCCTGGCAGGCCCACAGAAAGGAAGTTTTTATGTGAAAATCTTTAGCTCAAACGTGTTGCAAACAGAAGCCTGGCAGCCAGTATCGTCTTGCGGGGCATCAGACCCTGTCTCCATGGATGCCTGCGATTCTCTGGTAGTGTGGTGCAGGGGTGTGGTGGGAACTTCAGGCGGTGGAGGCCGCTAGGTGCTGCACACCTGAACACAAAGGTCACGTGGGACAAGGGCACAGGTCTCTTGCACAGCTCAGTCTCTGGGGAGACTGAGTCAGGGTCCTGAGAAGAAAAGTTCTTTCTGGAGAAGGCCGGAAGTGCTTCATCCTGTTTGACAGGAAGCTCCTGGTTTCAGTTTCAGAATCTGATCCAGCTTTCTTCTTGGTCATCGGTGGTGTAAATACACATTTAGAGTACAGGATGCAGCAAATTAACCTTTTCTGTTTTAGAAGTCTCTATCCTGGGCTTTCCGTGCAGATCCCAGTGGGGAGGGTCAGCCAAGCCCCAACTCCCAGAGCAAATCCTAGCCAGGTCTCTGCCCATGTGACTCCTGCTGAACTTTGCTTGGCTGGACTGTGGTATGGGGCTTACAAGATGAGGGAGGGCCTCTGATGTCAGTGGGGACTGTAGAGACAGGGCCCTCTAACTATAACCCTGCAGGCTCATCTAGCACTGGCCGGTTGAGTGAGTCAGGAGCTTGACAGGTGAAAGCATCTTGATATTAAGGGTTTGGATGGGATCTTGGGTACACCTGCTTGTTACCATGGCTCTCAGCTACAAGGTGTTTCCTAAGACATTTCTGCTTCCCTGACCCTGCAGAAGGTGAGAGGAGAAGGTACCCAGGCTTGGAAAGCCAGCTCTTTAGAAGGAGAAAATACTATGTTTTCTTAGCTCATCCCCCATCCTTTGTGGCTCCTCATGGTTTTTTGTTTTGTTTTGGTGTTTTTGAGATAAGATTTCTCTGTGTTGCCCTGTCTGTCCTGGCACTTGCTGTGTAGACCAGTTTGGCCTTGAATTTACAGAGATCTGCCTGCCTCTACCTCCCGAGCACTGAAGTTAAAGGTGTGTGCCACCAGAGACAGGCAGATCTCTGTGAGTTCGAGGCCAGCCTGATCTACAGAGCAAGTTTCAAAGCTACAGAGAAACCCTGTCTTGAAACCCCCCCCCCCAAAAAAAAAAGCATGACACCTACAAGGTCATTTGCAGCTATTTGGGGCTAGAGAGATGGCTCAGAGGTTATGTGCACTGGCTGTTCGTTCTTCCAGAGGACCTGGGTTCAATTCCCAGCACCCACATGGCCATTCACAACTGCCTGTAACTCTACCTCCTGGGGATTTGACACCCTCACACAGACATACATGCAGACAAAATACCAATGCACATAAAGTAAAAATAAATAAATCTTTACAAAAAAAAAAAAAAAAAGAAAAGAAAAAACCAAGGGCGTGTGCTACCACTGCTCTGCCTGGCTCTTTTCTTAATTTTCTGAGGACCAGGTATGAGGGTTTGGGCTCAGAAGCTCGTCTTTCATGGCACATGGAATCTAGAACAGGAACTTCTCTCACACCACTTGGCTAGAAACCACTTTGCTCCCAAAGTCAGGGTTGATTTCTAAATGAGAAACCTGTGGGGTTTTAAATCTTCTTTAAAAAAAAAAAAAAGATATATAATGTTTGTGGGTGTTTTGTGTGCATGCCTGGTTCCAGAGGAGGTCAGAAAAGAACGTTTGATTGCCTGGATTTTAGATTCTTGTAGGCTGCTATGTGGGTGCTGGAATTGAACCCAGGTCTTCTGGAAGACCACCTACTGCTGCTGCTGAGCCATCTCCAGCCTCTCCATGTGGGGCTTTGCAGCAAACACCCACAAGGAAATTTCCAGTAAAAACGGTGGAGAAGGAGGCTCCAGAGGGCAGGAAGGCTCAGCGTATGACCTGGATTTTGTTAAGAGAGGGGCCGGCAGCAGGAGCAGAAAGGATCATGGGAGTAAAGCAGGCCAGCCACTGCTGCAGCATGGTGCACCTTCAGCTCCACTTCTGGCTTTGTGCTGCTGCAGACCTGACTGTCCATCTCTTGCTGCTTCCCTCCCACCCCCACCCTTCCAGGAGGCCCTGGCTAGGTGGCCCCGTGATGGAAATAAGGTGCGTCCCCTCTTTCCCTCCTCATCTTTTAAGAGTCTAGCAATACTTCTTGGGCTTCAGGAAGCCAGGTAGGATTGAAGTAGATCCGTAGGGACTGGCACACAGGTCTTGCTTTCCTGCAAATCTGGAGGCGGGAAGGCCATGTGTGCAGTGGGTTGTGCATAGTTCTGGGTGCAGAGAGATAGATGGCCGCCATCATCTGTGCCAGGCCTTTCTGCTTACAGCTGGCTGAGGAGAAAGGGCGGGCTGTCTCGCAGGGTGACTCTGACTGGGAAGGACTGAGATAGCCCTCATCGAAGTTTCTTTCTTTCTGTTTGTCTGACTTTCTGTTTTGTCTGACTTCCCTCCCTCCTGAGACAGGGTTTCTCTGTGTAGACTAGGCTGACCCCGAACTCAGAGATTCATCTGTATTTCTTAACAAGACATAGGTACACTGGAGGTGGAGGGGGGCATCCATAACATCTTTTCCCCCTTCCCAACATCCCAGTGACATACCGAGGTATGATTCTATCAAAGTTCACCCTGAGGAACAGTGAGCTTATTGGTTTATTCACAGAGCATAGATATGGGGTTACTCACAAGAGTGTGGGTGCTTCCCCCGCAAGAGGCTACACTGAAAATCTTTACCCAATATGAATAATAGCTTTGCAATTCACCGCATAGTGATTTTCCCCACCCTATTTACCTTCCTCCATTCCTTAGCCTTGGTTCTGAGTTCAAATACAGTTCCTCTGGGGAGGAGGTGCAGGCTCTCTGTGCTCAGAGCATGCGCACCTTCTCCTCCCTGTACTTAGAAAGCTGTATCTGAGTACTTCCGTTTGTATCTCTACAGTTGATTTTTGAATCAGAAACACAGTCACATGGATTTAAAAATAAGTCACCAAGGAGACTGGGGAGATGGCTTAGTTGGTCCGCATAAGCCTGAGATAGATCCGCAGCATCGATGTCAAAAAGCCCCGCTCAGTGGCGGGTGTCTACCAACCCCAGTGCTGTGGGTGTGGACAGGTGGACCCCACTGCCTAGTTATCAGAATTATCAGAATTAATGAACTCTGGATCCTGTCAGAGAGCCTCAGAAAGTAGGATGGAGAGCAACCCAGGACGACGCTGGATGCTGACCTCTGGCCTCCACATGCACACGTGTGCATAAGCACAGCACAACACATACAAAATTCGTCACGGAGTAAATGCAAGTGTTTTTGCTGTGAGGTGGTTAGCCGCTGTTCCTACTTTCGGCATTGTTGGCACATACAGGCAGAACAGGCTAAGATACCAACGCCTTGTGCACCTTGCTCTGTGAACAATGTACCCTGGTGATCCTTCCGTTGAGAGAGAGCTTCCTCTGCCTCCCGTGTGGTTGCGTTCTACCTTCCTGTGGTTCCATGAACAACTTTGCTTTGCCAGGTGCTTTGGTCTTTGTTTTTTTGTTTTGTTTTGTTTTTGTTTGTTTGTTTGTTTTTGAGGCATAGTAGCCCAGGCTAGCCTTTAACTTGTGATCCTTCTGCCTTCGTTTCCAGAGTACTAGGATTATAGGATTATACACTATCCTAGGCTTTTTCACTTCTTTGTTTTCTGAGACAGGGTCTCTCAGTGTAGCCTTGACTAGCCTAGAACTTGCTACGCAGACCAGGCTGGCCTCACACTCTAAGAGATCTGCTTGCCTCTGCCTCCCAAGGGTAAGATTAAAGGCGTGCTACCACACCTGGCTACTTTTCACTCTTGATTACGCTTGAGTGGGTGCAGTAATGGCCTGCTCACAGTTGGGAAGGAGAGTTTTGAAGATAGTCAGCTCCCTGCTGTCAGGGGAATCCACAAACGTGTGTGCCCACTGTGGCCTTCCTGGAGGGTGGGAGGGGGGCTTTCTCGATTATTCTTTTCCTTTCTTGTGTACATGTATGTGGTGTATGCCTGCACGGTCACGGGAATGTGGTGTATTTGCACCTGTGTGCACACGCATGTGGAGATCAGAGGTCAGCCTTGGATGCTGTTCCCCAGAACTCCATCTGCCTTCTCTTCTGAGAAAGGCTTTCCCTGGACCTCATGCTCACTGATCTAGATACGCTGGGCATCCAACCTCAGGGACCGTCCTGTCGCTCACTGCCTCAGCTTGCAGGTTACAAGCATGTGCCCCAATGCCTGGCTTTTGACATGTGTACTGAGGATCGAACTTGGGTCCTCATGGTTGTACTGACAAAGCCACTCCCAGCCCCAGCCCTTTAGATCCCTGACAGTTAGATAGGCAAACGA